CTCACGGGGGCGCGGCGGGCCCAGCGCGCTTCGCCAACGCCACACGGAGTTCCCAGGCGATCACCCATCCAAGTACTATCCGTGCCCGGCGCTACTTAACTTTCGTGATCTGACGGGAACGAGTGCACTCAGCGTGGCCAGGGCGTTGGCATTGAAAGAGGATCTATTTTGTCGTCAACTCTTAATACAGCCTACCCAACGCTTTGTGGTAGATTGGAGTGGAAAGTTTCCGGACGGTCTTGCCAGCGAAATTTCCTACATTGCGCCATATATAATTGGGCGTGATTAATGACCTACGCTTTGATTTAAGCACTTGGTCGGCTAGCATACCACATCCCCCCTCTACCATGGCCTTATAGACCTTAAACGACAGTCGGGGCGGCTCATATTTGGAATCCAGGCCCCCGCGGTAACGTGATCCCGTTCTCGGTTTTCCAGAAAGCATCAACGTCACCCACATGCGGGTATCTAAACCTTGTAATGTAGGCCCTCGAGCCTACAACTCTGTATCAACGGACACTGCCATCTGGCGAAACCTATGAATTATCTGCAAAAACGACGACGGTAGCGCTATGGTTAGCGTAGTTAGTTGCTAACCTTCCCGATCCAGGTTCGAATCCCGGACGAGCCCCCACTTGTATCGTGGAAATTATTAGTATCGTGGAGTTATTTGGTAACTCTCGTCACAACGAATTTAACACACTCTCTCTCTCTCTCTCTCTCTCTCTCTCACTAGCAACTCTAACAACTCTACAACACTGACAATTCGATCAATTCTCTCAACTCTACTCTTCGACGTCTCGATCAACTCTCTCAACTCTACTCTTCGATGTCTCGATCAACTCTGACTCTCGCAACACACACACTTTTCGACTTGCATACTCTGACCTCTCGGTCATCCCCCTTAAAACACGAAACCGTCCTTCTGCTCTAACGTTGTTTATTGTTTTTCTCACATCACTGTAAGAACTAGGTGACTTTAGTCACATAGGCGCTCTTAAATGTACACGAACTACAGAAAGACGACATACACAGTTTTTCTAATTTCAACCGACCTCTAATTCAAATTACTTTACGATATTACATTCGGCCTTTCCTGACAATCACATCTGCCCTCAGATGTGCTCATCATCGCTGCTCGCACTTACATCACTATCGTTAACATTCCACCACTTCATGTGATCGGCTGCCGTGATCGTGCTGCTCTCGCTGCACTACGTATCGGTCATTTCGCAGGACCTTTACTTTTAGTTAAGGAACTTCGGATGCAGCTTTAGTCGGGGACCGCCCTGCGTCCTCTCGATTGCCACTAGATCTCCCGTCCTGTATGCTGTCGCCTTCTTGCGTCTCTTGTTATACGTCCACTTGTCTCGGGCTTGGATCTCTTCGATCCGTCTCTTTGCGTCTGTACGCAACTGATCTCGTTCCTCTTGGAACACCGCGGCCTGTTCGTCCTCGATGCTACTGCTCCTCTTTCGCTCTTCCTCTATCTTCCTCTCCGTTGTTTGTTTACCCATTTCACTCTTGTCAGGGGCTTTGGTCGTCGTGGCAGCATCGTGACATTTTCGTAGGCTCGATTCGTACATGGAAGACGTTAACAACTTACCATCTTCCGAGACTATGATCTCTTCTTTTTCGAAGGTCTTCACGTTCATCGTGTCCTCGACAATCCCATCGTCGTCCTCGTCATCCACATCCTCTGTATATCGAATCTTCGTATCGATATTATTGGAGGAATTCCGCACGTGCGACTGCCCTTGTCTTTTCGTTCGCCTTGCATTGACTCTCTTCGAGTTTATCCGAAAACTTGAAACAACCCTCACACCCGCAACGCTATCCTTCTCAGTAAATTCGCAAATATCATCAACAACATCCTGTTGCTGTTGTTTAGCCAGATTCTTCCTCCTCATGATGTTCGCTAAGTCCTCCTGCTAGCCGCAAGAATCCGACGAGGACACCATCTCGTGGTCCACTTTGCCAATCACCACGTGTCTTGCCACTATTCTCCGTTCCTCCGACATTTGCTGCACAGCTGCCCGATACTTCTTCAAAACTCCTGCCAACTCTTCTTTATTTTCTTCCAATTGCGACAGTAGCTCAGTTCGTTCACGACTAGCTACATTAACACGATCTTCTGCTTCGGAACGTTGCCGTAGTGCTTCCTGCAACGAAGCCTGCGTCTCATTCTCCAACTCGTTCTCCAACTGCGACTCTAGAACTTTCACCTTTTTCAGAGCGTTACCACGTACGTCTTCTAACTCCTCGTCCCTCTGTTGCATCTCTTTGCGTATTTCCTTGCATTGTTGCTCGATGTTCATCTTGAGCCTTAATTTCGCTTATTCGAGCAACTGCACCTGGCCAACTAAGTCGTCCAACTCTTCTTCCTGATCCTTTACTCTTTTCTCCAGCTCATGCTTCGCTTTCTTCAGTTGTGCTGCGTCCTCCTCCGTTTTGCCACCAAATGTTAATTCCTCAAGCTCTTGGTCCAATGTCCGCAATCTTTCTTCCTTCAATTCGATTTCCAATCTTGCGTTACTAAGGTTCTGTTCTATGGTAAACTTCTCCGCGATCGCGATCGCGATTTCTTTTTCTCTAGCTAATCTTTTACGTTGCGCTTTCTCGTGTCATAGATCATTCATTAAATTCTGAGTTTCTGAATCGAATTTGCGCTGTTTCTTTTCCAGAAGATTATTCCTAGCTGTCTGTTCTTCCAACAGTAATCTCAAGTCGTGCATCTCGCCATTCGGTTTTTGCAAGCGTCGTTTCCATTGTTCAACAACCTGACGTTGTTCCTCGACCTCTTCGTAAGCATCAGCTAACTTCTTCTCCAATTGCTTCTTAAGTCCAACCAGTTGCTCAAGATCATCCTCATGTTGCTGGGCACTTACTATATTCCCAAATTCATTCTTCAGCGCCTTTTTTAGGCCTTCCACATAGGTACGGGCATCCATTACTGGGTATTTATATCATTTACACCATAGTTGCACTCCTTTGGTGAATTTTGAACAATTGGGGAAAGAAACGCTTAGCGTTATGTCGTGGAAGAAATTCTCCGATAGGACCAGATCTTTTACCCCCATAGTTACTAGATGTCTTAGGCTCCAGGGACTCTCCTTTATTAAATCTATCCCCTTTTCTACGTCAGCCCCGGCTAAGCAGGTTTTCTTATACACAGCCTGACACGCCATAAAAACGTCCATATTAGTACCAGCTGACACAAGTAGGCAACCCAATGACCTACTTATACAGTATTCCCATTCGTCGACGAGGTGCTGCGGAAATAACATCGCAGCAATTAACTCCTCAACATTCTTATACGGTGTTCCGTAATAGTTGAAATATCCCAGGAAGTGCACATTCGTGGGGTTGGAAGTCCAACATGTTTTCTTCGAATTAATCACCATACTAAAGAAGTGCTGTACGACCTCCGCGTACTTGTCCAAGTCCATTAACACTGATCCGCGGAAGCATGCTATACCATCATCTCCAAAAAACACGTCCATAACTGGGTACTCCCCCATGACGACCTCTAAGGTATACCACGTTACCACCATGTTAATGAGACATCTAATAATATTGATAAACATTGATCCGGACAGAATTCCATGATCCTCCTTAAAGCGTCTACCATCAGAGTTTTGGACCGGAGTATTTATAAAATAGTTTATGCACTTCCTAAAGCATATCCGGTCTCTATCGGTTAAATTGAACTTCTCCATTACCACACTGAAAACGTCACGTATTAACCACGCAGGTACCTTTGCATCAAAAGTCGGTTATCAATATTTTAGTCTGCCCATACCTGCAGTTTAATTGATCTAGCTGGCTATTAAGCCACATCATTCCACCCTTCATCATCCATAAGCGGTATTCCTGCAACATTTCTGTTCAATGAACTGTTTGGTTAATGGGGCGGCGAATCTAGCTTCTTGTAGTATGATACTTAACGGGATGGCCCAAACGGGTCTCACCTTATTTTCACCAGGCTTTCCAATGTGACTTCTAGCAAATGCAACACTATCAATTAAGAGAAAGTACAAATTCCCCATCATCGACTCGCCTCCATACGTCAGAAAGGTACCCCAACTCACGTTCTATAACATCCTCCTTTTTCCAGCCTGGTCGTGTTTTAATATACGGTAGACCGGGTGATGTGCGCTGGGGCACGGCGCTGGCCGCTTCAGACATCGAAAGAGAATCTTTTTTTTTTATATTTACATGGAGGAAATCCGCACGGACGCCAGGCCGCTTCTGGGGAAAGCGGCCTGGTAGTGTCGGACTCTCCAAACCTCCACGATGACCGTCCCGGCTGCGATCGAGGAGAGGCCCAAGAACCGGTGTGAGCGTCGCAACGGGGCCTCGCCCACGCGATTTGTTTTCCATGGTCAAAAAATAGAATATTTAAAGAAACATAGGTGTGTGCCAAAATGAGAATGATACAATATGCATGATAATGGTCGCGTAATACTAAAATATTTCTCTTTCTCGATGCTTCGATTGTAGATTATTAAAAATAGATTGTCAAGAAAAGTAAAAAAATATTGGAAAAATAAAAAAAAAACCAACGCCACACGGAGTTCCCAGGCGATCACCCATCCAAGTACTATCCGTGCCCGGCGCTACTTAACTTTCGTGATCTGACGGGAACGAGTGCACTCAGCGTGGCCAGGGCGTTGGCATTGAAAGAGGATCTATTTTGTCGTCAACTCTTAATACAGCCTACCCAACGCTTTGTGGTAGATTGGAGTGGAAAGTTTCCGGACGGTCTTGCCAGCGAAATTTCCTACATTGCGCCATATATAATTGGGCGTGATTAATGACCTACGCTTTGATTTAAGCACTTGGTCGGCTAGCATACCACATCCCCCCTCTACCATGGCCTTATAGACCTTAAACGACAGTCGGGGCGGCTCATATTTGGAATCCAGGCCCCCGCGGTAACGTGATCCCGTTCTCGGTTTTCCAGAAAGCATCAACGTCACCCACATGCGGGTATCTAAACCTTGTAATGTAGGCCCTCGAGCCTACAACTCTGTATCAACGGACACTGCCATCTGGCGAAACCTATGAATTATCTGCAAAAACGACGACGGTAGCGCTATGGTTAGCGTAGTTAGTTGCTAACCTTCCCGATCCAGGTTCGAATCCCGGACGAGCCCCCACTTGTATCGTGGAAATTATTAGTATCGTGGAGTTATTTGGTAACTCTCGTCACAACGAATTTAACACACTCTCTCTCTCTCTCTCTCTCTCTCTCTCACTAGCAACTCTAACAACTCTACACTCTCTCTCTCTCACTAGCAACTCTAAATGGCCTTATAGACCTTAAACGACAGTCGGGGCGGCTCATATTTGGAATCCAGGCCCCCGCGGTAACGTGATCCCGTTCTCGGTTTTCCAGAAAGCATCAACGTCACCCACATGCGGGTATCTAAACCTTGTAATGTAGGCCCTCGAGCCTACAACTCTGTATCAACGGACACTGCCATCTGGCGAAACCTATGAATTATCTGCAAAAACGACGACGGTAGCGCTATGGTTAGCGTAGTTAGTTGCTAACCTTCCCGATCCAGGTTCGAATCCCGGACGAGCCCCCACTTGTATCGTGGAAATTATTAGTATCGTGGAGTTATTTGGTAACTCTCGTCACAACGAATTTAACACACTCTCTCTCTCTCTCTCTCTCTCTCTCTCACTAGCAACTCTAACAACTCTACAACACTGACAATTCGATCAATTCTCTCAACTCTACTCTTCGACGTCTCGATCAACTCTCTCAACTCTACTCTTCGATGTCTCGATCAACTCTGACTCTCGCAACACACACACTTTTCGACTTGCATACTCTGACCTCTCGGTCATCCCCCTTAAAACACGAAACCGTCCTTCTGCTCTAACGTTGTTTATTGTTTTTCTCACATCACTGTAAGAACTAGGTGACTTTAGTCACATAGGCGCTCTTAAATGTACACGAACTACAGAAAGACGACATACACAGCTTTTCTAATTTCAACCGACCTCTAATTCAAATTACTTTACGATATTACAATATAAAACGGTAAAATATTTCAGAAATTATATTTATATGCAATAACACATTACATAAGCGCAAATATAATATAACTGTCTAAAACAATAAGTCACAGTTTAACTATGTATTCATTGTGAAATATTGTATTATGTAAACTTCATCATAAAAGCATAACATTTCAGGTAAACAGGTATACTGAAAAGTAATTATATTTAGTAATATTTAATTATTTTTTAGATAGAAATGTATATCAATTATACGTAAATCAAGCTTTATTATTTTTTATTAACAAGTATAATATTTAGAGATCATTTATATTGACATTATTTCTTTGACTTAGAAATATTAGAGATACATATGCGGTGATCTAAAACAGACAATTAAAATCATTTTTACATATTAGTGGATTTTTATTAACAAAGATGACATTGTATACAGTAACATCAGAAATATTTACAGAAAATAAAAATTCTTATATAAAATGTAAAAATGACAGTAAGTTTATTACTTTCTTAACTTCTGTAATGTCATATTTAATACGTACTATTAATTTTTATATGACCGTAAGAAGATATATAATCATAAGATATGTTTATAGATGTAATATCCAGCTTTATTTTTAAGTATCCATCTTATATGATTAAACCAGAATGTCTTAATGGCTTAACTCGTGATAATGATGATGATATAAATATAGATAGGCAACAAGAAGGAAAATTATTAATAGGTATAAATTTATATATAGAATTAACCAGATATCAGAAAACATTATTTAATGTAATAAATTATATATTAATATTTTTAGAACACCATATATCTACAGAATTACAATATGTTGGATTGCAAGTATGGCGAGGTGCATTATTACTAGCTGATTATATTTTATCCAATCCTGATTTATTCAGGGATAAGGTAGTTCTAGAGTTAGGTGCTGGAGTTGGCTTAACTAGCATAGTAGCTAGTTTCCTAGCAAAAGAAGTAATTTGTACAGGTAATAAAGTTTGTAATATAATACTATTACACTAAATATTGTTCACATATATTTAATGTAAATGTATTTCTTACATTTTAGACATTGATGTAAAAGGGATATTGAAATTAATACATAGAAATTTTATGAGAAATAAAGCTTATATTAAGTCTAAAGTTGACATTAAAGGATTAGATTTCTTGAATTTAAAATGGCCTACATTTTACAAAAAAATAATAGATGAACCAGCTATTATTCTAGCTGCTGATGGTAAGTTATAAATTTATATTTTTACAATAAAAATAACATAGATATGATCAATGATTTTTTATGTTTACAGTAATTTATGATGAAACCGTAACAAAAGGATTTGTCCAAACATTAACAGAACTTTTAAATTCAAATGTACAGAAAGTTGTTTATATTACTTTGGAGAAAAGATATGTTTTTACTACAGCCAATATGGAAACTACTGCTCCAATGTATGAAGAATTCTTAGATCTTGTTAAAGTAAAGCAATTTAATTGGCATGTTGAATATATTAAAATAGATTTTCCACAATATTTCAAATATAATAGATTAGAACAGATGGTTCTCATAAAAATAAAAAACAAGTTAAGTAAATAATATAATTGAACATATAACATATAGTATAGTAACAAATTCATGAACATAAGAGAAATATCAAACAGTATTAAGTAATATAATGTGTTCATAGATATTATAATTGTACATTAAATTTAAATAAATTTAGAGAAAATATTTATATATGGATATCAGAGAAGTTTTGAAAACTTTTAATACAACTTATTATAACGTTATGAATGAAAGTAAGACCTTTTTATCGTTGTTTTCATTTTAATTGTGACAAAAATATATATACTTGTATATATATCATAATTTCATTAAAAAATGTATTTTTCTTAAATATCTTTAATGGCTGTCTATGTATGCATGTATTTCTGTATATATGTACATATTTCACATTCTAAAATTAGAAAGAAAGATTACTCCGTAGGAGTACTATAATTACCACTGAAATATATTTTATAATATGTTATTATCCTATGATAAAAAAGAAATAAAAATAACAAAAAATTTGAATAATTTCAAGTAAAAGCAGCAGACACTTTAAATTATAATGTTTCTAAATTTATTGTATTTTTTTATTTACAACCTAGCATAAGTAGTAATATTAATGGACAGTGATCAAAGTCGTTCGAAGAAAACAGATTTGCTAGAAATCAATACTTGTTAAAAAGTTAAACAAGATTTCACCTAGTTACGTTATAAAGAAACGTCACGTATTACGTACGGGAATGTAAATGCTTCTTCGAACGATCATCGGCAGTAAAGTTGTGTATATTACACAGAGAATAAATTCATTGTAACGTACTAAATTTCATTCATAAATTTATCTGAAAGAACGACAATCGGCAAAAGCTTTGCTAAATAAAAACATACAAACATTCAACATATTAAAATGAGTATAAATACTCAATGCAAAAGTCATATATTGGCGACAGTCACTCTCATATTCAAATTCTCCCGCTTTACAAAGGCACTTTTTTATAACAGTTTATTCCTTACTTTGGGGTAAAACTTATAATTTACAGCCTCAGTTTACAAGAAATATCTGAAGTAATTGTACCAAGGTCCCATCTTTTAATAGATTATGTGCTAGTTTTTTCAACTTCATATTATCTTCAGATATTAAATTTATCCATATTAATCTATAAGATTATGATTTAAATTAACATTCCATAGGAGGTACAACTATTTTATCATATAAAAGAATAGTCTATCATTCCCGATCATGAATATACAAGATTTATCCAGTGACCTTGATTTCCAAAATGATAGTTATATTTAAATGTAACATTCTGTTTAATAATTTTAATTTGTCACTTTTCCAGTTTTGATATTAAAATATTATGTTCTTCAAATTATAAAAATCAAAAGTATATAAGGCAATATAATTTTCACATATTACTAAGCAAATAAAAAGTTCAGAAAGTTAGATACATAAAAGGCATCATTGACTAGACCAAGAAAGAACGGGTACATTATATCTTTTTTTACGAAACAAGGTTCTCGGTTACGTATATTCAAAATAAATTTTTTCTTCATATTTAATTGTTTTCCAGAATTTCAATTAGAACTATATGAATTATTCACATTATATTTATCTGAAAGTTTGTCTTTTGTTTCACTTTTACATTTAAAACTTTCAAATTTATAGAAAATTGATCTAGTAGTTAGAGCAATGATTATCAAGTAGCTATAATGTCAATTATTCTAATCGCAATTACATCCTTTGCAACAAATACTGTACAAAAACGTACAATTAGCAGATTAACGTATGTATAACGGTTATTAATAACTACTTCCATTTACAGTCTTGTTTGATGATGTAGTCATCATATTAGCATATTTGCTAACATTATTGTGGATGGATGCTGTCGTTTTTACAGATTGTGAATTTGGTGAACTAAGTGGTAAAGAAGTTTTCCGTCTTGCATTAGAATTTGATCCATCGCTATTAAAATTTATTTTAGTACTTGTACTATTTTGTTTATTAGCATCTAAAGATGCATGACAACCTGAACTAAGCCATTTTTCAACTTGAGCTTCATGGGACTTTTGTAAAACTTTTCGAATATCACTATCTTCGCCTCCTTCTTTCATAATTTCTTGTAATTTTTGAATAGTCTGATATAAAACTACAGGGCTAATTAGACCAAAATCAAACAAACTACACATATGTAAAACAAAATTACGATATAAATTTTTCATGAGCAATTCTTTCCCTTTAGTTTCGAGAAACATTTGGCAAGCCAGTGGTATTTGACAGTCTCCTACATAGCCATATTTCATGACATGTAAATTCCACATTTTCATAAGTTCTTTTTCTCCTTCATTGACGTCTGTAAAATCGTCTATCATCATCATTGTTTTTGTTTGTAACCATTTTGGATCATTTTCTCCTTCCGAATCAATATCCATTTCTTTTGGATATATGGGTAAACACGTAACAGTATGATGATACAACCTACAAGAAATTTCATGAGCAACATATTTTATATGTAATAAATAATGACATTTATTTTAGTTAACTGTTGTACCTATTATGTCCTGTAATATAAGGTCTTTGGCTTTCATATTCATTTTCATCAAGCTCTAAAAATTCAGAAAGACTTGGCTTAGTTCTTTTTGGGCGACATACTAAAATATTTGTTACACTTGTACGTCTCGTCGGTCCTGTTCTTGAAAATGCTATGCTAGATGGCTGTGTAATTAATTCATGAGGGCTACCAGCATATGAGCCATCATAACATTCGTTTATTGCTACATCTATGCGAGCACCTTGTGGAATTGGCTATTAAAATAAAAAATTTATTTTATAGTACTTTAATGTCACAGATTTGTAATGCATATATTTAAACACTTACCACATACGTAAATGTAAATCGCGAATGACATAATTTTAAGTGCTTTAAAAGAGAATAAAGTTTTCCACAGTCTAATGAGCACCAAGGGCAATGTAAATCTTCACAAGCTTCTGTTTGTTGGCGACTATTATTATTATACAGGAACTGATAAACTATTTGCTGTGTACCCATGATAGTGTCCGTTTTCTCACTAGTTGTCATTCTTGAGGAATTTAGAGGACTAGGTGTTGGCAGTGTTGGATTATTGTTATTGTTGTTATTACTATTATTATTGTTGTTATTATTGGTACTATTATTATTATTATTATTTGTGGAAGAACGTTCTAGACCAGCTGAAATTATTTTATGAAACATTTTATCTTCTTTTTATCCTATTTATACATATTTCTTCTTCTGTGGAAAAAGAAAAAGATAGAAAACTTACTATTTCCTGAGCGATTTTCTTTATTATCACCATTTGGTACTGAATGAATGGGAGTTGGTCTATCAACTAAACCGTTACTTGGTTCAGTCGTCCAATTAAGCCTAAACTTTAATGTTGGTCCTTTGCTGAATACTTCAAAAGGACCACATTCCTTGATGTCAGGTACAGACTCCCAAGAGCTGTGCTTCTTTGGGCTAGATCGAATATTGGTTTGTACTTCTTGTAAGCCTAGTTCATAATCGCCATCAGTCAACAAACATCGGTTGTGTTTATCATACACTATGAGTTCAGAACCATACAACTTTATTTCTTCTCCTCCAGCTTTAATTGAACCCGTAGAAGATTTGCGACGCTTTTGAGCTGGTTCTAACGAGAAAAAGAGAAAAAGAAAAGGAAAACAAATATTATGAAAGTATACTCTCTAAAGTAATTCATGGTATATGTGTGTGTGCGTGTATTGTTAACTAACCATCTAAATCACAGTTATGCATAAGGCAGCCAGTATTGGACGTACAATATACTCTAAGTAAAAGCATATAAGTTTTCGCTACATGACCATTATTTAAACTGAAAGATTCATTAGGTATAGATATGGTAGGTGCCTTTGGAGGTGGTTGATTTTCACAAGGATTGATTGGAACTTCACTTGTGCCAACAGAAACCTAAAATTAAAAAATGTTCGCTTATTTAACAGCAATTATCAATCTTACTTATTTATTCCATTCTAACAAATTATGTAATTGAAAAGTCATACTTGCCTGCATAATTGGTGAACTCACATCTTTTCTTTTTTTGTGACATATTTTCAATAATAATGTTTCTACCTTTACTGGATCTTGAGGCGTTTCAACTGTAACATTACCATTATAAAGAAAAATTTAATTCAATATGCTAAATCTTTGAAGTGTCTCATTTAGGTACCAGAGCGTATTTCACAATTACCTTTTTTATCATAAAAACCTAGAAAAGTAAGAGTCATGTATCCACGAACACCTGGGTTTTCTCCTTGATTATTTTTTGACATTAATTTTTCCAATATCATGTCAATTTTAAACACCCGACGTGATTTATGGCTTCTAGACATACGTTGCCTCATGTAAGTTAAGTTTCTATATAGAAATATTGGCTAAAAAAGAATTACACAAAATGTTTTACATTGTCATATTTCTATTAGTTTGTATAAACAAAATGATACAGAGCATAAAATATAATGTTTAATTTCATTTTATTTTAAATAAACTATAAAGTAGCTTTATAAGATAATAAATTTATATACCTACCGTTCTCAATCATAAAAAACAAATATAAAAAGTTTCAAAATATTTTTTAACTTTAATTATATTGCAGGAATGTTCACAAACACTCTACTGTAGAATTTAAGTTTTATTTTATTACAACCTAAGAAAAATTCACTAAACTGTTAGTACAAAAAAATTGTACCAAATACACTTTCATTCATATTTACTTGTCTACAAGTATTTACCATTTCACTCTCATCTAATACTTTGGACATTTTGAATACAAATAAATATTAAAATATTCAGTTAACACTTTGAGGAGACATTAAACTACAGATAATTAACAATTAAAATAAAATATAAAATATAGATAGATTTATTTTACTTTTACTCACTGAAATTTGGTTTCTTGTGCGTAGAAATCGATAGATCTGGGTTGGTTCTGAAAAAATGATACATAAAATTATTATATAATAGCAAGAATAAGAATATATAATTTAAACATTTTTAAATACAAATAAATTAAATAAAAGAAGAATATAGTTCAATTGAATTCCTCCAGATGGCTCAGAGGTTAACATTTTTGTCACAAGTGAAATGATCCTTGCAGGAGTTAAAAGAGATACATATCAAAAATTGTATATGATTCTTCTTTAAGGAAAAATGGGAAATGATGATTAGGTTATTCTCGTTTCCATATGAGAAGCCTGCATTCTTTCATACTTGTTACGCTTTATGCAGGTTAAACCTCTCTGATCCCATTTTACTCTAAAATAAAACTGCACTATGTCTCAAATTATTAAAAAATATAAGTACCTTTAAAAAACAAAAATAATTCTATTACACTAAATTAGTTACTAGAAAATTTTCTTAATTTTTTGACATATTTAAATAAAAGTTAATATGTTGTGATTGAATTAAACATGAGTGTTAATAATTTAAATACATGATATTTTGCTACAAAACTAAGATATATATTAATTGAGAAAAAATATTAAAATAAAAATCACAATGTTGAAAAATAATTTAATCTTAATAATGTATTTATTTATTTAGAAAATTTCCTTATATTTTTTGACATGTTTAAATAAAAGCAACAACATGTTGTGGTCGAATTAAACATGAGTGTTAATAAATTAAGTACATGATATTTTGCTACAAAACTAAGATATCCATTAGTTGAGAAAAAATATCAAAATATTAAAATAAAAGTTGCATTGATGAAAAATAATTTAAACCTAATAATACATACTTCATTTATTTAATCACCACATATAATTGGCTTAACTTTTTAAATTAAACACTAAATAGGAACATGGTGAGAGAATGACAGGTGTCCACGAATTGAAGCAAAGGAGGGAACGGAGTGGAACGACGCGCGGTTCGGCGCTCGGTACGTTCTTAGCAAATGGGGTTATGTACGATCATTTTGAATATTTGTAATAAATATTGAAAAAGTGATGATCAATGATCATTTAGTTATTATAAATCGAGATATTAATTAATTTTGAAGTCAGAAAAATAGAGGAAAAAGGAATGATAACAGAAAGTTCTTACTTTCGAAGGCCTGTAGAAATAGCTCATGGTCTGCTTGAATTTGATCCATTCGAGGACCTTTCTGCCCGTCCACTTCTTTTTCCCGCTTTTTCGGCGGCATTTTTATACGATTCGTTGTCAAATTTCTTACGGAAATTCACTTTTGTCACGTGAAAATCTAATGACAACACCCGCCCCGCGCGAAATCTGCGGCGCTTAGCCTGCAACTAAAGCGCACCCTTATATCATTATTAATAACTAAACGAACCAATCACTCATTACCAATACATATCGCGCGAAATGTAAAAATAATTTGTTTCCTTAAAATGCAATGTAAGATCAGATGTTCGATTTTCGATATGAAAGTTGACAACATATCAAAACATACATCATATTCGATTTATATATATCCGCAAACATATGTAGTGTATTTGGATTGTAGATGAAAGAAGTAAAATAAAAGTAAAAAGAAAAATATAGAACGTTACAACAACGTAAAAACAATATCATGACGTCATACTATATCTTCACTTTACATTCGAAAGGTACATATCTAAAAGAATTTTAAGTATTATTAGGTATAAAAATACGATAAGTAAAAGAACATGATATAATACGTGAACACTATTATATAGGTATGTAATACTTGTTAAAATTCTAAAGAATTTTTATATTATATTATAAATAATACCGCTTTTGGAATCTAAAGTGAAAAATCTATCTAATCAGATACTTTTGTACGCCGCTATATATACTTTTGTCCAGCCATCAGAGATGTATATATATTAAAACTATAAGTAATTTCTTTTTAACAAAAAGAAAAAATGAAAACGTTATTCTGTAACTATAATTTTAAACTTCTATATAACAGCAGATATCATAATAAAAGGAGTATGTTAGCAGAATTTATATAATTGCATTAAAACGCATGCATTGCAGATCATATATTATGCTTTCCATTTCTTCTAAATTTTATAAATCATTTCTATGCTGTTGCTAAATATTATAGAGTAGAAAATCAAAATATAAATATTGATACAAATAAATAATAAATACAAATAATAATTGATACAAATAAAATTTGTTATAAATTAATTTTATATTGTAATCCTGTAACGTTATTGATTAGTGTATGTATGTAAATATTATAAATTATAGTTATATAAATTCTTTATATAGTTGTGATCCTAAACTTTAAAAGAAATTACTTTCATATTTTTTGGGAAAACTTTACAAGGTTGGTCAACATAAAATATTTTACTAGAGATAAAAATGCCTGTATGAAAGCACATTTTAAACATGTGTACCCCCTAGTGAATAGTCAAAGCAAGTGTAAATGAATTATATGATATTAATAGTTTATTCTTGTTTGTTTGAAAAATATTGGAGATAAAGAGTGAATCTTAAAACAAAACTTGATGTTGGTATGCTTTATATAATCTTAATTTATGCTTCTGTAATATGGTATGAAACAGTATAATTTGTATAATGATCTTTAGTGAAATTTAAATTATAGGTTTAATATAATTCAGTGAAGAAATACGATGAAGTACAACATATTCCGTATTACAAATGTTCTGTTTATGCAAAAACGGTTCTTTAAAAAAGTACAAGTAAGAGTTAGATTTGCACCTAGTCCAACTGGTATGTGATATGATTATTCACCTTTATAAAATTCAATATAATAGAATATTAAATCATCATATGGAATATTTTTTTATTTATCTTGCTTAATACAGTATAAAAAATATATTAATATGTGTAAAAATTATTACAGGTTCGTTACATGTAGGAGGTTTACGAACTGCATTATATAATTATTTATTTGCCCGTGCTAATAATGGTGCATTTATTTTACGAATTGAAGATACTGATCAATCTAGATGTATACCTGATGCAATAGAAAAAATCCAATGTGATTTACTATGGTCTGGAATCATACCTGATGAGGATCCAATAAGAGGTGGACCTGCCGGGCCTTACATACAATCAAAACGTCTTGAAATATACAAGTACGTTGAAAATTTTCATTTATATAAGTATTCAAATAAATACTATATTGTAGTTACATATTGTAGTTACATGTAAATGTAATATAAATGTTGTGTTCATATAGATATTTCCAAGTGATATTATGAATTATTTTCTACAAAATTATTAGATATAATGATGTTACTTTATACTTTAAAGTATACTTTACTTAAAGCTTAGTGAACATTTTTCAAGTAAGTCCATTAAAGCATATATGTAACAAGATCCAAATAAACATAATTATATTTTGTTTTATCACCTAATTTCAAATAATTATTGTAACATAACTAATTTCTATTTATTAGTATTTTGGCTAAAAATATAGAGTTTTAATACATATAATGGTTGTATTTTTTGCTTATTTAAATTATATTATATTATATAGTATAAATTAAATTTAAATTATTTGTCTATGACTTCCTATATTTTTTATAAAATAAAGTTAAATTTCACTTGTTATTTTAATAGACAAAGATTCTTATAGATACTAGAAAACTAATAATATACCATTATTCATTAAATTACAGGGACCAAGTGCTTAAACTTATAAATAATCAATCTGCATATTACTGTTTCTGCACAGAAAACAGATTGCAATTATTGCGAAGAGAAGCAATAAAACGAGGAGAAGTGCCTAAGTATGATAATAGATGTAGACATATAAGCAACGATGAAGTAAAAGCAAAACTTGATAAGGGATCCCCTTTTTGTATTAGATTTAAGGTATTGAAAAATGGTATTACATGATGTCATATATTGTGATTAATTATATTTTTATATATTTATCTATATTTTTGTAGTTATCTGCTGGAATAGAAAGCTTTGATGATTTAATATATGGTAAAATAGAACATGATATTGCACAAAGGGAAGGAGACCCCATTATTATCAAAACAGATGGTTATCCAACTTACCATTTTGCAAATGTTGTTGATGATCATCTTATGGAAATATCTCATGTATTAAGAGGAATTGAGTGGCAAGTATCCACACCTAAACATATAATGATGTACAAGTAAGTACTAAAATTTATAACAAAATTTGTAAATATTTTAATATTTGTTAGTTCCTGTAAAGTATTATTTTTTTAATTTCATATATAATTATAAGATATTTTCAATTTAAAAGTAGAATATTTATATAGGATTCAAATTTTATGCAGTATTGTTGTAGAATTATGGTTATTATTAATTACTTGTATTGTGCAATATGGTATGATGAACAATAAAATATATTAGAATGTGTTATATTTTTGAATACAAGTATTTATTACATGTACAATATCTAAATAATAAACAGTTATCTCAGTATATGAGGACAAAGAAAATAGTTTAAATTATTATTTTAAATTTATTATTAAATAATTATTAAATATATATAATTAGTATATAGTAATTAAATAATAAATATATATAACAAATTAGTAATTATTTAATAATAAGTTATGAATAATAATTTAAACTATCTTCTTTATTCTTTAGATATTAGATATTATAATTAATAATTATTTGATTAAATAGATTAATTACATGTACTAAGAAAATCTTATTTACCTGTGATAAACTTTTTTTAGTATTTATGTAGAATATTAAAAAAAATTATGTTTATATAACATTTATATGTATTTCATACATATTTTATGAATATGACATGACTACATATCCTTTACTAAACATTTAAATATAAATAATTTATTATACGATATTATCCATTAATTGTAGATTATCACCAATAATTGTAATTATTACAGAGCTTTTAATTGGACTCCACCTTTATATGGACATTTACCCTTGGTATTAAACTTTGATGGATCAAAATTATCAAAAAGGCAAAGCGATATAAGTATAGAATCCTTTAGAAAAGAGGGAATTTTTCCATTAGCAGTTTTAAACTATGTTACACATGCTGGTGGTGGTTTTGATAATAAAGGAGGTGCTCTTTACATTGATAGTTATGAAGAATTAATCAAACAAGTATTTATGTTTTATATTATATCTTTTATACAAAATATTTGTATTCAATATAAATCATACTACACATGCTTTTCTATTATTTATTTTAGTTTGTTTTAATTATTTCAGTTCAATATTTCTAAAATAAAAGTAAGTTCTAATAAACTTTCACCTCCAAAACTATTAGAATTCAATAGGATAGAGATAGCAAAATTATTAGCAAATGAAAAAAATAATGCATTTTTAATTGAAAGAATAAAAACGTTAGTCATAGAAGCATTCCCAAATAGGTATGTATGGTTTGTCTAGTGCTAATTTTTATTTATATTTAGAGCCTTAACAACATATTCAATGATATTTTTAGACAAACTGATGGAAATTTACAATTAGACGACAATCATATTATTTCTGTATTAAAATGGGCACAGCATAGAATATCAAAATTAAGTGATCTAGTATCTCCAAAGTTGGCCTTTTTATGGCATATACCAACCACATCATTTGATGACACTATGTTGGGATGTAAATTAGGTATAATTTGTTATACTTTGTATATAAACATTACTGAGTGTTTCGTGTAGTATAATTGAATCCATTATTTTTTTTTTATACACTTAAAACGGTTTTTCTTTATAGATGCGCTTAAAATAATAAGTATGAAATTGATTGAAACTGAAATTCAAAATTTTAATAAAGAATGGATAAATAAATACCTAAAAGAATTTGCTAATGAACATGAAATTTCATATCCAACATTGATGAAAGCTTTACGTTTTGTACTTAGTGGTTTAAAGGTAAACATAAAATATCCTAATTATATTTTTTCATTATAAATTTAATACTGATTTATATAATATATGTATTTACATTTTTAGGAGGGTCCACCAGTTTCTGAAATGATGGAAATTTTGGGGAAAGATTCTACAGTGTTAAGAATAAAACGCTATATTTCCTAAAAATAAAAATGTGGTCATATATATTTGTAAATTTATAATTAACAATACATTTTGAAATTAATACTTTTTATTATTCGTAGAATAAAAATAATTTTGAATAGAATACAAATTTTATATATCTAGTCAATTTTGTTATTTATGTTTGTGTTTGTATTTTATATGTTTTTAAATATATTAAAATCATTTAATTTTGTATGTTATGGGTCACATAAAAAGCTATTTCTTTAGCTGTTTAACATATAAATATTTTTATTTTTATGTTATCTATAACTTGCATATAATGCATATTAAGATACAGAAACATATATATGGAAATAAAAGAAATTTATATAATGTCATATTATATAATTATATTTTCTTTGAATAAGAACATCTATTTTTAAATAATACATTAAATATGTTGATATTAGTAATCTTATGTAAGATTTTCTAAAACTCAAGAGATTTATAGTATTATAAGACTAAATTATATGAAACCTATCTGATAATCAAATGAAACCTGAATATATAATTTAAAAGTTATGTAATTTGAACTTCGGATGAAATTATTTACAGTTTTATTATTTACAGTTGTTACATTTCAATTCCCTGGGATAATTGGGATTGATTTTGTATCTTTAAATAAATGTTCAATTTTCTAATACAATCGAAATTATAATTAAATTATAATATATTCCTAATTACAGAAAGCTTTCTGAAATATAACATAAATATAACATGTAATATAAATAAAAGGATTTTTACTATAATAGATATTGAAACTTATAATGACAGTTTAAAAATATAAACTACAATATTTTTAAAATGAAAAAATATTTGCTAATATTTTTCCATGATAATTGAATTTATATACACAATGTGCGTTGAAATATTCCCAGACAATAAGAAATTTATTAAATATAAAATTACTTACATCTATATAGACAAAATTACTACGCAATTTATTGTAACTATAAAACCTATCATAAGGATATCAATTTATGGAATTAATAATAATAATATAATAATATTTTATCGTATATCAGCCTTTGCTTAGTAATTTATGAAATAAGCAAATTGTATTTTAAATATTTTCTAATATCTTCTTATTATGTAATTAAATCTTAAATAATATTATTTTGATATAGATTGATTTTGTTTCTATAAAAATATATACATATAAAATATAGTAAACAAGCATCTACTGCATCAACTGTGCATTTCAATGTTTTCATATCATATGTATAAAATATACTGTTATCCTTTGTTTACTTGTACCAATGAATTTTTTTCAAACTAAAATGTATATAGTAAATATTTAAGTTATAAATTGTAATATACTTATATTAGGAAAAATATCCTAAGTGTAATGAAACTATAAATTATATTGCATTTGTGAAAAGGACAATCATAATTTGATCCATTTATTTAATATTTCTGTTTACAATAATATAATACTAGATGAATAAAATATATCTTCTTAAGAAAAAAACTTTTATCTGAATACATCTAAACAGAAACAAAAGGATAAAAGGGAAATGAAACAATCTTTGAAGAAGATTTTCTTTATTTGGATATGTGTATATTTCATTATAATTAATTAAAATAGTTTATCATATATACCTTCTCTTTTAAATTATTTGAATGACATACATATATTAAGTCATATCATATACAAAGAAAAGATGGAGATAAACATATTTTTGTCTTAGAGTATAAACATAAATTATATGAATATCATTGTGTTTTTGATCTATGTGAATTGCATAATGATTATTTTAATATTAAAACTATATTAACTTTTTTACTAGTAGCAATATATGCTACTGTACAATATTATTTATCATACTTTAAAAATTCTATAAATGTAGGATAAAAGTAAGTTATTAGATATATAATATTATAGACCTTTTCTATCATACTAGGTAACATCAACTTATTTGAAGTATAGTAGATTTTTATATCTTTGGATTTTGCAAAATATGTAATGTAGTTTGCAAAATACATAAGTAGAGAATTTAAAAAAAATATATTCTAATTAATTATATTTATAAATATAATAATTTCAAGAAATTTATTTGTGACTAATTTTGTATAGTTGTATAATACTCTTTATAGTTTTCAAACATTTTCTACGTCTTATGTATTCATTGAATTATGGATTTACTTAACATAATAGTGTAATGAAGAATGTATAAAGAACATTCAGTATATATAAACGGACTTAGAAAGGAATTGTTTTACAATTTTCAATAGAACATCATATAATTTACCTCTCTTTCTAAATTTCAAAGAATTTCAGAAAAATAACAAGAAACGAGATTTTATTATATGTATGTATTACTATTATCTAGGGTTGAGGTTTCTTATGCAGCTTTGCATATAATAATGTATAAGAATATATTTCGAAACATTTTATGTTTCTTATTGCATTTTCTGATAGAAAAACAAATTAATTTTATATTTTTAAATATACATCAATAATACAAAACAAAAAAATTTGAATGAACTAAATAGATCAAAAATGCATATATTTGAAAGAAATATGAAAAATTTTGTAAATGAAGAAAGTTTGCTAAAATACATATCCACTGATTTTATGATAGTTATCAATAATAAAGTAGTTGTTAGTTTATCGAAACAATGTATAAGATGAGGACAATTTTTCTTTACGTAAATGTAAATAAATTTAAAAGAGTAATTAATCCAAACATAACATGATTTGATCCTTAGCTTCATGCTACAAAACTGTTCTACCAGTAGGAAGTTTCTACATTGTATTGAATTTTCTTGATTAAATAAAACTTTAAAATGATATAATTATATCTATGTATCCTTTAAATTATTTTTCTTTAAATTGTACATACCTTCTGAATATGTTTTATCATGTAATATGTGCGTAATAGTTGTTATATAATTTATTCTCACTAAATATTTTGTGACATATTAGGTATACATATAAATATAAAATTAAGTATAAGTATAAAATTACAACTGAATATCTAACATTATATAATACTATCATAATATTATCACCCAAATACAAATTATAATTTTTACTATAATCTTAAACAAATATCACATGCAAATTATTTTTATAATTCAGTGTTTACAATATTAAATGGAAAATTTGGAATGCATAAGACAATTTTAAAATTATAATATAATGCCAGTTAAGTTATGCTGTTCATATATTTTGAGATTAGAAAATCTAAGATAGGCACTTTTATCCTTGCAGATTTATTATGCTGGAATGCAAATTTATATATATGGAAGAATTAGTGTAGTTTTGTGGTATAAATTGAGCATATTTGAAAGGGCAAAGCATAATAAACAAAATATTACATTAAATTATATACTTTAAAAAAGTTTCATATCTACATCATTAACAACATTATTCTAATATTCATATTCTAAAAAGATGGTTATATAATATTGAGAAACAGTTTAACTGTTTTCTTTTTACTTATTGAGTCAATGGATTGGAACATGTAACATTTCCATTTCTCCACATTGTTAGAAATAACATTAGAATTATTGAAGAAATTGTTTTCCATTCATCGTATAATATATTGAAGTATTCACTCATGTTGCATATTGTCAATAAAAAATTACTATTTGAAAAAATAAATTTAATACCTGGATTTGTAAGAGTATATATTATTAAAATTTTTTTAAATATTTTTTTAATATCTTTAAGACCTTTGATTTATGGATTGAAAACATTTATAGATTAAAGTTTAACATATTTATCTTGATTTTAAAACAAATAAAACTAGTATTCTTGTATTATCACTGATAAGATATTAAGATATTAAGAAAATTTCCTAAAATTAATAGTAGTGTGATATATGAATATAATAATATATGAATATAATAATATAATAAATGCTGAAATTATATAAACAAATACATGCGTGTAAAAGACATTCAACAGGCACGCACACACATAAATACATAATACGGTTCTACTTTAATATGGATGAGAATTGGATATCAATGTATTGTGTATCTGTCGTGAATTATAAAATGAATAAATTCGAGACCAGGAATTAATACCTGATTAATATAACTTGAAGTTTCATTACTCTTATTTACAAGAATGAAGAATATGACCAAAGATAATATAATAAGGAGATATTAAATGTCTGAACAATTCAGCTAGGAGCAATTCCGAAAGATAGCAATTGTTTGTTTTTTGCTTTTGTAAATTTAAAATTTTTAGTAATAGTAATAGCGGCAATCAATATCAATAGTAACTACAATATTATTAGTTTCGCAAGCTTATGTATAAGAAATTATTTCAAATCGAGTTAATCCCTATTTAATAAATATAATATTTAAGTGAATCTTATATATCTGTAAGGTTTAATTGTCAATCGCGTGTTAAACAAATTCTTTTATTTCTTTGTTACAGCAGCCTTGTTTTAACATAGCAACATTGAAATTATGATACATTTAAAAAACTTGTTTCCTCAGTTTCTTAATAAATTTGTACATGATATTTTTATTGCCATTGGCAGGTGACATACATTTTTCTTTGTCATTACCACTATTATCATCATCATCCTAATCATTGTTTATTTCAAGACTGTTATAATATGATCATAGAAATGAAATATCACTTTCATTTAATCATGTTGCATTATGTTAAAGATGCTTTCTTAAATATCTTTTAATTTAGTTAGAAATTTAAATGTGATAAAAAAAATTGCAGAGCACTTTATGTACACAGTGTGTTATTTTTGTATACACGTATAATATTTTGTTTGATTATGCATATGTGTATGTATATATACTATATATAATATTATATAATTTATCAATAGATAAAAATTTACAGCACATATAATTTTAACTGTACATAATATAAATACAAAGACATTGTTTTAAACTATTAAATTGTAATTGGTATAATCATAATGCAAAAATAAACATGTAATTGTTGTAAGATTTATGATTCACAGTACTGTATAAATTTTATATTATTTTTCACAGTTTATGTACACATAGCACATACAGTAGTTTGTTATTTATTTTTTTCAATACATAACTTCCAGCAGTGTCATATACTCATCAGTCATTATTTGTGAACTGCCTTTTATCTTTTAATACTCAAGAATTTAAAAA